TTGATATAGGGCATAAATACTTTATTGGTGGGTGGCTGTTTTTCTTCTTCAGTCGCATGTTGCTTCCTTGGTTTGATGGCTCTTTTTATTTCATTCTTGGAGTAGCCATTCGCTTGTATGTCCCAATAGAGGTGGTTAAGTTCAGAGTTTAGGAATTGGGTTTCTCAGATCCGATTGGCCTGATCCATCAGGGTTTTGATAATGCCTCTTTTCTGACGTGGGTGGTAGTTGGAGTTTTTGTGTAGGTACCGGTCTGTGTGGGTGGGTTTTCTGTAAACTTTGTGTCCTAATTTGAGGTCTGGTTTGCATATGACCAATGTGTCTAGAAATGGGAGTTTGCCATCCACGGCCACACAGCCCGGAAGACCCACACCAGCCATAATGTATAATAGTTTGAATCTCTTGGACAAATGCATTAATCACAATTTGTTTTATGATGTAAACAATTATCTTTCTTAAAATTAATGACTTATTTAGATCCCTGTTTGGATCCTAGTTCCAGTTTTCTGATCAAACAATATGTTAGGGGACATTATATAATGATTATGCTGACTTTTATTAAGACTATAGTTAAAAATATGACATATCATCTACAAGCAGTATTATAGCTAAAGGTTCATTGTCAATTTAAGATACTACTGAATATTTAATTACTACCCTTTCTATCAGCATTTGCACATGATTAAATTTCTCCATCATTTTTTCTCAAAAGCTCAACTTTAGGAAACAGTCTATGGGTAGTATGTGGCCTATTTGTAAATAATAAATTATTGTTGAAAAAAAGCAAATATGAAAGTGAGGATTGAGTACTTCTGGAGAAACATAAAAGTTGAATGCAATTGGAATAGGGTACTTAAGAAGTGTGTGTAGTAAAAAAGAAGATATTTAGTACAGTTAAAAAAGAATGGATTCTGAATAAATGTGAACTGAACACAAAAGTGAGTGACCAATTAAAAAAATGTTTTGGGATAGTTTGTTCATATAGAAAGAATGAAAAGGGATCGTACTAAAAGATAAATACAGTGGTACCTCGGTTCACGAACTTAATTCGTTCCGCGACTCTGGTCGCGACCCGAATTGGTTGTGACCTGAATCAAATTTTCCCATAAGGTTCAAT